ATACTACACTACTACTAATTACTGCTGCTGCTGCTACCACTACTGCTACTACTACTCCTGCTACTACTACTACTACTACTCCTACTGCTACTACTACTACTACTACTACTACTACTACTACTACTATCTACTACAAAAGAGAAAAGTAGCTGCTACCTCCTCCACATATACCCTTCTATCCGCAGCCCGCCACGACGACTGCTGCTGCTGCTGCCTCCGGGCGGATGCTCTGCGCTGCTGCTGCCGCTGCTGCTGCTGCTGCTGCTGCTGCTGCTGCTGCTGCTGCTGCTGCTGCTGCTGCTGCTGCTGGTGGTGCTGGTGCTGCTACGACAACGACCACTACTGCTGCTGTTGTGCTCTGCTCGACTACGACTACGACTACCCTGACCCTGGTAACCCTACAAAAAGTTAGGGTCTCATCGCAGAACTGCGTTCTTGTGCGTGATGGACAGAGAACCCTGGGTATCATTGCTAAACCCTAGGTTTGGGAATCACAACACAGTTCGGATGCCGGTCGCCTCTTTTGACATACATGAAGCAGTGCTGTTACCGAGAGATACTGGGATTTAGACTGATGAAGCCTTCCAAACAAAACAGAAAGACCCCAAACCCTAAACCCCGAAAGGACCCGAAACCCTAAAATTCTAGGACCTTAAGCCAATCCTCCTGATCCCTCGAATGTCGGACAATGGCTTCATTTTCGATGCTGGCACTGTCGCCAGGGTCTCAGACTGATCAGGAGCAGCGGCACGCCACCTGTGTCGGAGAGCGCTTGAAACATTACATTTTTCAGAGCTATTTGAGCTCGCAGGTTCTCTGCTGTAGCGGGTCTTTCTTTCTGCCAGCCATGAGCGGCAGTGCTTTGGAGAGGGATGAGGATGGTGGCCTTGATATTGGCAACATCCATAGTACATGGGACAGCAACTCGGAAATCAGAAGCAGACTTCGGGACGGCTCTACGTTCCTGCACCCACGGAGCGAGTGCAAAACCGATAATAGCACCTGCTGCCTGAACAAGCCGATTTTGTTGCCCATTGTAGAGAAGATGAGCAAAGGTGACAGGAAGTTACCAAGTGTAGGCGACCTGCGTGCTGAAATGACGGCTGTGTACACAACAAACAAGCGGATTGACAATCCGGAAGATATGCAGACCATCATTGCAGACTCGTGGCACATCCGGAAGCTCTTGTCTCACATCAAGGCCAAAACCCGACGTGGCGAGGTTTCCACTGAATCTTTCCTTATTGTGGGATTGTGTTTTCTTTGTAATGTGATGGAACCCTTTGTCTGTTTTCTCTTCATCTCTCTGGCTCCCTCTCTCATTCTCGTCGCTCTCAGAGTATTTCGATGCTTCTGCGAAACCGAGGACCCCGAGTTTCAGGAGTTCTGTGTGCTCTTGGACCCGGAAATGCAGGCTCCGTTGCATAATAACAGGACACTGAAACAGCAGCTCCCCTCAGCCACGCCAGGACATTGCCGACCTCATCAACCGGAAGCGCGAAGAGCGCCGAGCTGCTGCAGCCGCCGCAGCTGTGTCGGCGGGTACTCCCGCCTTTTGGTTGCCCTACAACCCTTAACCTATCCTACATAAGCTTTTGGGTTGAATTCTAACATGCTTAGACGGGGTCCAGATACCATTCAGTTGGGTTTTGAAAGCTACTTAATGAAGCTATTTCTGTAAGGAGGATGAGGATGCCTACGATCCCGGCTCCGATGGGGCCCCTCCTGCGAGTGCTCCGACGAGTGCTCCAGAGGTTACTCCCAGCTCCAATGGCAATGCTTCGAGTGCTCCGACGAGTGCTCCAGAGGTTACTCCTAGCTCTGATGCGCCCCGTGCTTCGAGTGCTCCAGAGGTTGCTCCCAGCTCCGATGTGCCCCCAACAACAATGGTTGCTGCTTCGAGTGCTCCGGCGAGTGCTCCAAAGGTTACTCCCAGGCCCAATGTGCCCCGTGCTCCGGCAGTTGCTCCGTGTCCACCGTGTGTGAAGATTGAAGACTCTCCAGAGGTTTCAGAGGTTCGCCCCGAAACTGTCAAGACTGTAGCTACTGCTGGCAAAGCTTTCGTGGAGCATCGTAGCTTGGTTGCATGCAGGGCTAAACCCTTTCTTCATTGCATGGACATAAAGTAGATTGTCTTATAGCTCAGGCAACATGACAGTGGAGCAGAGAAGTTCGCTTCAGTCAAGAGCTGCCGAGATCAAAATGAAGCTTCGAAGGTCATCACGTTCCAAATTCGGATGGTTTGATGTATCGGGCCTTACATTTCTATATCAGGGTTCTTTAGATGGGTTGGGGCCTTAAGTTTAATTGCTGATGCGTGCTTTGTTGCCGTCCTGCCAGGCTGTCTAGCCGGCTGTCAAGCGGCGGATCATCGGAGACCACTTCGGCCGGCTCACGGGAGTCCATGGATAGTGTAGACGCAGGACTCACAATTTCATTCTTCCTGACAAAAGAGTTCTCTTGCATAAATCCTCAGTTCTGACAATATTTATGGCATCTCTGTGCTAGGAGCTATTTCTGATACTTCGGCAGCCAGCAGTGCAGAACCCGACAGCGCAGACACACAGCCGATCGACATCATGGCTGTACCTCTTTTCCCGGCTACGGTTGTTGGTGCGGTGCCTCGGCTCATCCTATCAGCCGAAAAAGATCGCGAGATGTACCAGCGCAAGGTGGCCAAGCAAGCTACAGAGACGATGGTTCTGCCAGGTGGTGGCAGTGCTGAAGAGGCTTCCAAGGCCATCCAGGACGATGGTGATCATGTCCCTGACTCCAAGGGCGAGGGTGATGGTGATCATGTCACTGGCTCCAAGGGCGAGGGTGATGCTGATCATGTCGCTGACCCCAAGGGCGAGGGTAATGGTGATCATGTCGCTGACCCCAAGGGCGAGGGTGATCATGATACTTTCACTGAGAGTGACGACGAGGTGGACAGCCAGTAAAACCTAAGTAAGCTTGTGCATGTTTCGGTAGGGAGGTTTATTAAAATGGACTCCCTAAGTCGGAGCCCTCAGGCGAAGCACCCGGACGTGACCCGAGGTGATCAGTTGTCTTTGAAGAGTCGCCGTAAGGCTGGGAACGGGAAAGGCAAGACCACGCAGAAGGCAGTCATTCGAAGGGGCAAAAGCCGAAAGCTTCGGAAACTCAAGTCCATGAAGAAGAAGCAAACCAAAGCCTCAGCCGACAGCCGGGAGTGGCAGGATTGGGAGGATTCCGAAGGGGGGTGGGATGGTGAGGATTGGAATGGTTGGGAAGAGGAGCCGGAGATCCCGACCAAGGGCAGAGCCGCCAAATCGAAGCCGGGACCCAAGCCGAAAGCGAAAGCCTCCCCTAAGGGCAAAGCAAAAGCAAAGGCCAAGGCGAAAGCTTCTGCCAAAAAGGACGACCCAGCCAAGCCCAAGCCCAAGGCCAAAGCAAAGCAAGCAGCAAAGCCGAAGCCCACGAAGGTTGATTGCCCACCCGAACCTAAGCGCAAAAGGGGCAAGACAGCCGAGCCCGCCGAGCATCGGCCCGAGTCGGTTTCGCCTACTTTCAAGCAGCTCAAGGACAAGCTCTTGAAGTTTGTGGAGCAGCACAGCGGCCGTGAGTTGGATGCTGCTTTCAAAAAAGAGCTTCGTGGGGTGTGTCAAAACCCTTTGGTGAACAGCAGCCTGAACATCTACTGGAAGCGACCTGGTTGTGGGGTAACTTGCAAGGCCTTGTCCAAGGATTTCGGCTACTACTACTTTAAAGCCGACGGTGTGGATTTCCTTGATCGTCTTCTGCTTTCTTGCAAAGCTGGCCAGGAGATTGTGTTCCAGATCAACTAGTACTGCACTTCTTTACTTATATTACCTGAAACTCGAACACCCCAAATTCTGAACTTAAACTTAACTTGGGCTTTGTGTTCTGTGTTTGCCCTGCCCCAGAACCCTGCTTAGGCTTCGTTCGTGGATCAGCTTGTGAAGTCCAAGCCCAAGGAGGACATGGCTGAGATCGTTGAATGCACTGATGTGATTGAGAGAAAGGAGCTCTTGAGAGAGGCAGGCCTAGCTGCAGTACGAGAGCTCCAGTCTTCCGTCGAGTGAAGCGCTTCACTCTGCCGCTTCCTACGTGCGCATGTTAGTCTGTCATGCAACGACACACCCCGGTGTGCCAACACGTAGAAAGGTGAAAATTTCAATCGGGTTGGGGAATACGACCTGCTCTCCTTGTATTCAACCTCATGGGCCAATAGGGCAAGGCCTGTAGATCATATCAAGAGGACCACTAAGGTTTATAGAAGGGTTTAGGGTTTATAAGGTCTATAGAGGATTTCGGGGTTGTTTTGGGGGCAGGTCGTACTTGCTTGGTGCACTTGGGCTTTTTGTGGCTGCCGTGACATATGCATTCCATCGTTCAAGTATTCTGATCTAATCGATTGAAATCTCATAGTGCGGATCCAGGCTGCCTGTCCCTGCTGCACATAGATAAGCAAGCGCCAGTTTCAGTGACAACGTTGGCTGGGAGCACAGCCTCAGATCGGAGAATCGTTCCATGCGGCCAAAATCAATGCCCGGCTGTCGTGCCCAAGACTTCTTGCACTGTCATCCCACATGTGCATCACTGGGACTCTTCGCTATCAGGAAGCTCAGCATTCGAACCCCCGTCAACGGTCTAAAATCCGAATAAAACCCTTGTATGCCCTAACTAAAAACCCTATATAATCCTGAACCCTCCGGAACCCTTAAGCCCAAAAACAAAAACCCTTACATAATCCTAAACCCTCCTAGTTCCTTAAGCCCTATATAAAAGGAAAAAACCCTACAAGAATCCTAAACCCTCCGAAACCCTTACGCCCTAAAACGAAAAGCCCTACCTAATCCTAAGCCCTCCGAAACACTTAAGCCCTGTAGCTAAGATACAATAAAACTAAAAGCCCTGCATAATCCTAAGCCCCCGAAACCCTGAATCCCTTCAAGCTCCCTCCACTGCCGAGGCCCGGAAGTCTCGACCATGGTGCTCCGCAAGGGCGACTTGTGGCAGGTTCGCAAGAAGGTCCTGCAAAGGAAGAGTGCATCCGGCAGCTTTGATTCCAAGTGGAGGGCATGCATCTTGTGCTGGGGTCCAGCCGAATCTAGTCCTGCTTGTTTCCAAAGACTGTCGTGAACCGCTGTTTTCAAGGGCTTAGGAGCTGCAGCAGAGTTTGTGCCGCTGGCCTCTTTCTAGATGCTTTTGCACGTATGGCCGAAAAGCCGATAGAGTTGATGTCCATTCAATTTATAGTGCAAGCTCTAGTCCGTTGCCATGAACTTCGACAGCCTCCTGTACCGCCTGGCAAAACTCTCCGCCCCGAAGGAGCTGAGGTTCTAATGTCTTGTAGAGGGATTGACGGTTATAACCGAACAATAACGGACTTGGGGCCCTATATAGAAGAAATATATTTGGGTAGGTTAAGGACACTGATGTAATCGATATTACAGTAATCTAATTTGTTCCCCGGCAGGAGTTCGTTATCATCGTCCTTCTCGTTCTGTGGTCTGTCGACAACATCCAGAGCGCAACTTGTCTGACCCGACAAAATCTCTGTAGCCGATTACGCTAGCTTCTAGAACCTTTAAACTTGTTCTGCATAAGGACGTGCAGTTCATCGAGTTCTTCGCCGGGGTCGGCAACGCGTTTCTGTGCATGCAGGAGCACTACCGGTCCTTGCGGTTCGACATCGAGGATCATCAAGCTCCTCCGGGCCGTAGCAACTTTATGGACTTTGCATCAACCTCCGGTTTTGCGAGCTTCAGCTAAATCTTAGGGAGGGGGTGTTTGCTTTTGGGGGTGGGGGCCTACCAATCTCAGCCTCGAGAATGGGGGTATGCTTTGTGTGGGGGATTGTATGTTCCAGGAAACTAATTGATCAATCGTTGTGATTGCAAAAGCTAAGTTTGGCCATCATGGCGGTGCTTCGGACGACCGTCGACAAGTCCCTCACCCATTACGGTATCAAGTGCTCCTCGTTCTGTCAAATGAACACCGGAACCTCTCGAAGGTCTGCTTGTGCATCTCTTGGTTATACTACATACCCTTCGGTATGCAGCTCCAACTTGTTGTTGGAGAGGACTAGCATTGTTACACTTGTTTCAGCAAACAAGGTGCTCTGTTGGAGTAGAGCTATATTTTGATCTACAGTACATGTTGTGCTTCCCTGAGAGGACAACCTTACTCATACTCCTGAACACTGCTCTCGGGGGTGCCTGGACCCTCGAGCAGCCCAAAGGCTCCGTCCTGGAATACTATCCATCCTGGAGGAGGATGATGCAAGCAGTCTGCGAGCATGGTGGCCCGTTTGCGGCCTCTGCCTCAGTTAAATTGACTTGGGTTCTCAAGTGGGTTTGCTGCTGTGTTTAGTGGTTTTTGCTTGGGGATCCTCAGGTGGCACGAACCAGTTTATGGATGGGGCTGTATGGGGCAGACACCCCGAAACGCCATTACTTCTACAGCAACAGCCAGTCTGTGCACAAGTTGGACAAAGGGAAACTACATGTAAAGAAGTTCGACAAGAAAAAGAAGACAGCGCATTATTCCTATGACAAGAACAACAAAGCCTGTTGGACCGCGACTAAAGACCTGAGTGGAACCCAGCTTCTCGCAAAACAACCCATTAAAGAGGTTGTGCTTTCCTATGTATACCTTCATCCACCAGAACCTACTTTTTTGCAGGGTCCCTATAGTTGCGATATTAGGGGTGTTTATAATAAGAACCTACAAAATGGGTTTTGGTAGGTTAAGGGATTATCATAACATATAATCTAACAACATAGATATTATATTTGTTGCGATAACTAAGTATATATATATATAGGGATCCCGTAGTGTCTTCGGGTCACACATATATATATATATATAATATTATATATATATATATATATAGGGTTTAGGGGTTTAGGGTTTATACAGGGTTTAGGGTTTAGTGTTATATCATTTGGGTATATATAATGTACTTAACCTAGCTTGACCTGTTTGGTTTTCCATAGATAGTCTATACTAATCCCGCCCAGAAATCCAAAGATCCTTGCATCCCAGGACCTACCCGAAGGCATTCGCCGCCGCTATGCTGCACATCAGCGAGGATCTGATGAAGTCCAGAAGAGGCTGTCCTGAGCTCCCGAGCGAGATCCCACCGGCTATCTCGACTTTTCAAGCAATGGCCTGGGGTTCTGGTTCGGGTTTGTGGGATTTTGCTGCTTTGCCAGAGGTGTTCCGTTACCTGAGGGGAGGGAAATACTTGAAGATTCCTGCTGAGTGGAAGCCTTTGGTGCCCGGGTCCTTACCGGTCCCTCAGGGTGGTGCGACTGATTCCTAGAATGCCTTAGGTTGTTTGCCCTAATGCCGAGCGGTGGTTGTCAGGAGGGGCCTGGGCACTTCGGTTGCGGGATTTCGGGCGCTGATCGTGGCGGCATCTGTGTTTCAATACGAAATAATAGGTTTGAGCAACTTTTTGCGAAAATTAGTGGGGTCCGCTGCGAATTCATTAAGGAAACCCCGGGTTTTCCTGTCACAACCCGTGATTTGCTAACTGAAACCCCGGGTTTGAGAATTATAAACCTAGGGTTGTTACCCCATGAACCCGTGATTTGTACTAGCCGTATACACAACCCCGGGTCGGCCAACCCGTGGTGAAAGCGTGGCAGACCCGTGATTTACCCGTGGCAACCCGTGATTTAATCATGGGTTGCAGGGGTTCCCGCAAGCTTGGTTTTTTAGCTGTGTTAGATAGAAAGTTCACGCCCGGAACCCAATCGAAGATCATGCTTCTTCCTGGCTCCTTAATTCAGAATTAAGCGGGCCGTTCCCGAAGACAAATTCTTGCTTTGTACAGAAGTTAGCCAAAAGACTGCTCCTCCGATTGCTCGATTTTGCGCCAGCGCCAGTGCTCGCCCAGCACCAGTTGCAAAGCTTGTCAGTGTGTTGAATCCTGGGCTCCGAAGGATATCGTGTACTGTACAGTTATGAGCTCAATCTCCAAGATGTGGAGTTGCCAAACTTTTCTCGATGGTCTTGATCATACGAAGCTAGCAGCAAACCCTGCTGACCAAGAAGAAGCTACTCGCTTGCTACGTGAGCTAGAGGACCCAACTAGAAAAGGTTCTGTGGTTACGATAGTTTCAACTATTCTTACCATCAATAATAATAAACATATAGTGTGTGTATATATACACAGGTATTATAGGATTACTTTGCTAGACAAAGATATCATAACAAGAACAAATGAATGGCATAGTATACATTGCAGCAGTATGATATAATTATAACGATAGATTATCATATGTCCTAAGTATATATATATATACATATATATATATATATATATATGTATAGATATATATATATATAGATACGTATCTATCCAGTAAATCTACAAATATATATATATATATGTATAACGTACTAAATCACTATATAAGCCTATACAGAGTATTATAAGATAAGGGTCTAGGTATTTTTCATATATACATACTTGGGTGTATATATCTGTATATATCCCGTGCATATATATATATATACGCGTAAGTTTTATTATCGTTGCATGTTTGTTTTGTTTACAAAAATGCAAAGGTAATATACTAATGTATTTCTGCATGTATATATAGCATGCACTATGTAAAATATTATGTCTTTATATTCTAATCATAATATCATTGCTATTTTACTTGGTTCTCTGATGCAGGACATCAATCTGGTTCTTGGCCAAAGTACAGCCGACACCGCCCCAGTCTTGGCCAAGCCTGTGGAGCCATACTGTGCTGAGACGCTTCAGGAATCGTTTGCCTAAACCCCTCTAACCGGCCCCAACCCTCACAAGAATTTAACACTCCAATAGCATCTCCTTTGAAGGACCCTCGGCCTGCTATACCAAGCCCTGCTTCTCTCGCCACGACTGTCCCGGCTGCTGTCTTGCAAGCAGAACACCACACAACCCCAGGCACACAATCAATAGAGGGCCTGCCCTTTCCCTACCCTTTCCCAGGCCACAGAAGAAGAACTCCAACGACAGGGGTTGAGGACCGATCCCTACAGCATCGACAGCTTCAGCTTTGAAGACAAGGAGACTTCGGATGAGCCCCAGCAAATGGATGAACCCGGGCAAGTGGATGAACCCGAGCAAGAGCAAGCCTTAACCTCAGACCCAGAAAATCTAGGCCCGAATCTTTTGTAGAGAATACCTATATAAACCCTAAGCCCATATAAACCCTAACCCCTGAACCCTAAACCCTATAAACCCTTAATGCTGTAAATAAAGCTGAAACGAGGCAAACCTGGATGCATTGGAGACGCTGCTGTTTCGAACTTTGTTGGTGGAAGACAGTGATGCTGAAGAGCAGCCAGCTGAGCCAGCTGTCGATGAAGCGGAATGTGCAGATGAACCCCACGGCCTGAAGCGGCCGAAGGACGAAGCCGACGACGAAGACGACGACGATGCTATGCAACCCAGCAAGAACTTGAAGGGGAAGCGAGAGCCGACCAGACAGGACGGGTCAAGTGTCGTCGTGAGCTTGAAGCTTTCCTATATAAACCCCTACTGAATCCCAAACTCCAAACCCACTTAAAATATATAACCTTAGATGTCTCGAGGAGAGGCTCCTCAAGGCGGCCAAAGCACGCATCGACAGGATGTGTGCTCCCAAGTCCAAGAGGAAGGACCTGGAAGTGCCGGACTGGGTGAAAGCCGAGTGGAAGCAAGGGGGCAACAAAACGAGCATGGCTCAGATTCTCCAAGCCGAGAACTTCGACAAGGAGTTTTGGGGTTATGCTTCGTTGTTCTTGAGGTAGCTTACATCAGAACTTTGGTTTCTAAGCCCAAGATTGTGCCAGGAGAAGTTCATCAACCAGCTTGAAATCATCGTTACGAAGAAGCACTCCGTGAAGCTGAAGGTCGAGTGTGCTTGGTACAGCGAACAGGAGCTGTACGACGTGCTCAAATGGACAGAGAAACTTTCCTGTCTTATGCACGGCCTGATAATAGATATTTTGCTTATCTGCGGTCTTGTCTCTGCACACTGAGGACTCGGGTGAAAGGTGCAATAGCCAAGTGTCAAGCTGACGGCAATGTGAGGCTCAACGGAGGGTGATCCCACAACGAGCATTGTGAGTGTGTTTGTATGTCACCCATTACTTATGCAGTTTACTAATTCTTGTGCGCGAGGAAGAACCAATATGACGGGGTCGAAGAGTACTGGGTGCAGATTCGAGAATCCGGGCAAGTGTCCCAAAAGCAGCAGTACGAGGAAAAGCGCCGCCGTGTCCAGGAGGCTTGGAGCTTGCAGCACATCTAGAATTCGATCTATTGTAAAAGAATTCTAGCTTCGCCCTGAGGATGAAGGGATGCCCGATGTCACCCCGGACCAGAAAGACTTTTCGGGTCTGGAGCAGATGAAGCTGAGAAATCAGCAAAACAAGCCGGGTGCGAACCAGGCAGCACCGAACCCCAGTCAGCACAAATGGGCCCAGGCCTGGGGCCCTAAAGCCTTTTGTTGATATCTGAAGCAAGCCCAAACCCCACACTCAGAAATATATATATATATATATCTGATTGCAGACCGAAGAGAGCCTGAAGAAGTACAATGCCAGCATGATGCAAAAGATCGGCAAGATGCGGGCTTTGTCCAAGGAGCTGAATACGCAGTACGATGATGACGATGCTACGAAGTGCCATGCTCAAAATAGTAGTTTCGAGCCCAACCCCATAAACTCTGAAAGCATTCCTCCTCAACAGCCCAGGGCAGTCAGCAGCCTGCAGAAGGAGATCGCCACGTTGGAGAAGGCCTACGATGAGCTGAACGAAATCCTCGCCAAAGCACCTCGCCGGCCAGCCGACGACGGGGAATCGTAGCTTATCTTCAATATATAGCCGTTTGCCCTGGAGACTGTGCAATAAACCACCAATGCGAGTATGTTGCGACCCAGGTTCTACCAGCAGGCCGAAAGCAAGATGAAGGATTCTACCCTGGTGTTGCTCAGCAGAAGTATGCACTAATATGTTGTTTCATATAAGAGGCAAACCTAGAATCCAAGTGCTACTATTATTGCAGCCTAGGTGTTCCCGTGCGGCTGCTACAGAGCAGAAAGTCAGGCCATCGCGGGACAAGACGGTTTGCGGAATTTTGCATTGCTACAAGCTAAGCCCCTAAAGCCCTCTTAAAGCCAGCAAGCCCAAAGCCCCGAAGCCCAAAGCCAACAAGCCCAAAGCCCCGAAGCCCAAAGCCAACAAGCCCAAAAGCGCCGATGCCCCAAAGCCAGCAAGCCCGAAAGGCCCGAAACTCCAAACCCAGCAAGCCCACAAGACCCGAAGCACCAAAGCCAGCAAGCCCAATAACCCCCAAGCCCGAAGCCCCAAAGCCAGCAAGCCCAATAACCCCCGAAACCCCAAAGCCAGCAAGCCCAATAACCCCCGAAACCCCAAAGCCAGCAAGCCCAATAACCCCGAAGCCCTAAACACTCAAGCAAACTCAACGCTTGCAGGACCGCCAAGAAGTACTACCAGAAGAAGGGCTCCTCGGCCACGGCCCCCAAAGCAAAGGCCAAGCCTGAAGCAAAAAGCAAGCCGAAGAAGGCTGCCAAAAAGTAGGAGCTGCTAGCTGAGCGGGAAAATCCCTGCCTTTTTCTACTTCATGCTCCGATGAAGGCCGGCTTGATAACCCCTGGAACCTTGAGCCTTAAGCCATATAAGCCCTGAACCCCTGACCCTATATAGCTATGCAACGAAGCCCCCACACATCGGAGAA